ACTCTGCTTTGCTCCAGCTGGAAAAAAGTGTGTCAGTGGGAAAGGCTCTTCCCAGTGGGAACGGTCCCGGCTCGTTAACCACGGGAGCCAGGCGGGAATCCAGCCCCCAAATCCAGCCCCAATTCCTTGGGAAAGGAGGGAGGGAGGGGGAATGCTGTCCTGCTCGGCTGGCCCTGCAGCCAGGGGTCTGGGGGATGTTCCTGGGACCTGAATCCAGGGATTTAGGGGGTGTTCCTGGGACCTGAATCCAGGGATTTAGGGGATGTTCCTGGGACCTGAATCCAGGGATTTAGGGGGTGTATCCCATTCCCACAATCCCTGTATCCCATTCCCACAATCCCTGTATCCCATTCCCACAGATCCCTGTATCCCATTCCCACAATCCCTGTATCCCATTCCCACAATCCCTGTATCCCATTCCCACAGATCCCTGTATCCCATTCCCACAGATCCCTGTATCCCATTCCCTGTATCCCATTCCCACAGATCCCTGTATCCCATTCCCTGTATCCCATTCCCACAGATCCCTGTATCCCATTCCCACAGATCCCTGTATCCCATTCCCTGTATCCCATTCCCACAGATCCCTACGCCATCGTGTCCTTCCTGCACCAGAGCCAGAAGTCCCAGGTGGTGAAGAACACCCTGAACCCCACGTGGGACCAGACCCTGATCTTCCACGAGATCGAGATCTTCGGGGCCCCCCCGGGCGTGGCCCAGGATCCCCCCAGTGTGGTGGTGGAGATCTACGACCACGACACCTACGTGAGCCTGGGGTGGGAATGGGAACCGGGAATGGGAACCGGGAACGGGCCGGGAATGGGATTTTTAGGATCTGCTGATCCCGAGTGCTCAGGGCTCCTGCTCTGGGAATCGTGGAGTGGAAATTTCACCTCCTGCTTGAACCCAAAAGTCTAAAAAAGGGCATTTCGAGCCCTAGGAATTCCAGGGGGGATCTGGAAACCATCTGGGCATCAAACCCACTGAACTTTCTCAGCTGGTCCCATAATGGTCCATTCCACGATCCTGGTTTTTGGTGGTGGGATTTTGGCTGAGTTTTGGGGGTGTGTGGATGGATTGCACTGGGAAAAGGGGTAGGAAGCTGCATTTCCATCATCCACAGTGACCAAATGGACCACGTTTGCCTGTGGAAAAAGCTCGGGATGAGATTTGAGGCAGTGCTGGAAGTAGGGAATGTTTCTTCAATGGAAGATCCTGTTGCAGAGCAGGGAATGGGATTTTTAGGAGCTGCTGCTGCTCCTAAATGCTCAGAGTTCCTGCTCTGGGAATTGTGGAGTGGAAATTTCACCTCCTGCTCGAGCCCAAATGCCTGAAAAAGGTGCATTTCCAGCCCTAGGAATTCCAGGGAGGATCTGGAAACCTCTTGGGCATCAAACCCACTTCATTTTCTGCCCTGGTTCATCCCATGATCCTGGTTTTTGAGTGGTGGGATTTTGGCTGAGTTTTGGGGGTGTGTGGATGGGTTGCACTGGGAAAAGGGGTAGGAAGCTGCATTTCCATCACCCAGAGTGGCCAAATGGACCACGTTTCCCTCTGGAAAAAGCTCGGGATGGGATTTGAAGCAGTGCTAGAAGTAGGGAATGTTTCTTCAATGGAAGATCCCGTTGCAGAGCAGGGAATGGGATTTTTAGGAGCTGCTGATCCTGAATGCTCTGGGAATCGTGGAGTGGGAATTTCACCTCCTGTTTGAGCCCAAATGCCTAAAAAAGTGCATTTCCAGCCCTAGGAATTCCAGGGGGGATCTCTGGGCATCGAACCCACTGATGTTTCTTAGCCGGTCCCGTAACGGTCCATCCCGTGATCCTGGGATGGACCCACCTGGGTGGTGGGACTTTGGCCGGGTTGGGGGGTGCGTGGGGGTGGATTCCAGCGGGAGGAGGGTTGGGAAGGAGCCTCCCAGTGCCCGTGTTTCCCCGCAGGGAGCAGACGAGTTCATGGGCCGCTGCATCTGCCGGCCCAGCCTGGAGCGCTCGCCCCGCCTGGCCTGGCACCCCATCACCAAGGGCAGCAGGAACGTGGGGGAGCTCCTGGCGGCCTTCGAGCTCATCCAGAGGGAGAAGGTGAGACCCCCACCCCTCCCTCAGCCCCTCCTGGAGCGCTGGTTTCTCCCCCTGGAGTCTCCCTGCCCGGCGGATCCGACCTTTGCCGGGTGTCGGGTTGTGTCCCCCCGGGCTCGGGAAGAGCCTCGTGGATTTGGCCCTTTTTGAGGAATAAATCCACAGGCTGAGCCTGTCCAGCGTGGAGAAGGAGGTGGTTTAGGGCTGGCCTGATGGAAACCTGCAGAATTCCGGGTGGGAAGGGCTGGATGGCTCCTTCTCTCCTAAGACAACCCCTGGAGGGCTCAGGGGGAGCTACGGGGAACTGGGACTGCAGAGATCCGTAAGGAATGCTGCCCTTAGCTTGGAATTGATTTCTGGAGGGGGTTTAGGAGAGCTTGAAGCCACACTGCCTCCTCCAGTGGCTGCTGCATATGCCAGGGGTGCCCCTGTGCCAGGGAACATGGATGGACTGGGAGCTCCATCCCCCATCCCATCCCTCCCTCCCAGCCCGAGTGACCCTGGGAACGGGGATCCCACAGTTCCCTCCTGCCTGGAGGTCCCAGCATGGCCCCTGGAGCCAGGACAAGGCGCCAACTCCCCTGCACGGGCCCTCTGCTTCCCCCTCACCCCCTGAGGGGAAATCCTTGGGAAGGGCTGTGCCCTCGGAGGGCCCGTGGGATCCACAAATCATCCGGGTGGGTTTGAAGTTCTGCCAGTTCCTCCTGGATAGAGGAGAACCCTGGTTTCCCTGGAATCCTCATGCCAAGGGTGTTTGGAGGTGGGCAGCGTGGGGGTGATGTTCCCTGCCAGGGAAGGCTGAGGTGGCAGCAGGAATTCCAGTGGGAATTGTGTTTTCTCTCCACAGCCGGCTGTCCATCACATCCCCGGCTTCGAGGTAATTCCTGACTCCTTCCTGCAGCTCCATCCCCAGCTCCATCCCCAGCTCCATCCCC